TCAGGAACACAGCTGAAAAGCTTCCAGTCAGACGGAGGAGGAGAATACACCTCTCAGCGCTTCAAGCAGTACCTGGCGGTAAGGGGAATCAAGCAACTTCTCTCCCTTCCCTACGCCCATCAGCAGCAAGGTGTTGCAGAAAGAATGAACAGGACTCTGAAGAACAGCATGCGCAAACTGCTACGTGGCATGCGGCTACCCAACCACCAGTGGCCTGCAGCAATGGACCATGCTGTCATGCTACACAACTTGTTGTCGTCGTCTTCACTTCCGAACAACGCATCACCGCATCTGCTGTGGACAGGAAAGCTGGGCAGCACAAGAATGTTACGAGTTTTCGGGTGTATGGTACAGTACCGACCCCCAGAAGCACGAGCGGGAAGATTTTCACAACGGGCACAGTGGGGACTACACCTCGGCATCGAAAAGAACTACAACGCGTGGAAAATTTTCGACGTCCACTCAAAAGAAACAGTAGCAGCACGTGATGTGATCTTCTACGAGCGACTCACCCTTCAGACGTACCTCGCCAACTTGCACGAGAATCAGGACCTCACAGGTGGCTTTCGTGGTGACCGGGCCTTCGCCTCAGCAGCGGACGAAGCAGACTGGGACGAACAGAACGTCGACAACGCATCGGAAGAAGCCGGACCTCTTCCATTCTGCTCTGTCAACGTGCCCATGGACGAAGAAAATCCTCGCGACAGTGTCAACGCCGAAGTCTTCTATCATTTCGCCGACAACGGTTACGTAACACCTGCGACAGTCAACACAAACGAAGCAGAAAGGATAGGGCCGAATTTCATCCCTGACCCAGAAGCGGGAGACGAAGCAGCTTATCCCGAGGACACAACACTCCCTCGATACTCACAGACTGGACTGCAAATCCTTGGCCTCGTCACCGCAGTCCACGGCAACGCACTTCCTAAGGAGCCTGCGACGGTTCAGCAGGCTCTGGGGGGGGAACACAAGGAGAAATGGTGTGAAGCCATGGACAGAGAATTAAAGGCATTGGAGGAACGCAACACCTGGAAGGTCGTTCCCGCAAGCGTGGCAAGGAACAAGACCATTCTCACCGGGAAATGGGTCTTCCGCATCAAAACGAAAGCAGACGGCACAATCGAGAAATTCAAAGCACGCTGGGTCGTGCGTGGTTTCGACCAGGAGCAAGGACGAGACTTCACCGAGACATTCGCCCAAGTTAGTCGACATACCTCTCTCCGAATCCTTCTCGCCGTTGCCGCCATGAAGAAGAAGAAGTTGCGACAAATTGATGTCGCCAACGCATTCCTCTACGCACCCGTCGACGCCGAAATCTTCGTCGAACTCCCACACGGTACCCACGAACAACCCAATCAGGTCTGCCAGCTACTGAAATCGCTCTACGGAATCAAACAAGCCCCGCGGCAATGGCAACAGCACCTACACACCCACCTCACTCGCATCGGATTCCGCCAACTTCCTCACGACCAAGGGATGTACCGACTCACCAAAGACGCGGCTACATCCTGCTGATCGTCTACGTCGACGACTTACTCTACATCGGCTCCACCGACGACATCACCTCCTGGTTCGAAGGGGAGCTGCAGAAGGACCTCACGCTCACGGTTTCTTCTACCGTTACCCAGTACCTCACCTACCGCTATCGCCACGCCATACCGCTACACGACAGGAAGTGACAAAGGAAATTCCGCTCCACTCAAAGCTGCCGGAATACGAGACTACCAGAGGAAACTGGGCTGCCTCCTCTTCGCAGCCATCACCTGCCGCCCGGATCTGTCCTATTCCGCAAGTCAACTCGCCACCTACCTCAAGAAACCTGAAGCAGAGCACCTGGCGGAGCTCGACCGCGCACTACACTACTTCGTGAGCACATCGACGATCGGTACTACAAGAGCGAAGCTACATCGACGAAACTAATCGGCTACGTCGATGCCGATCATGCCGGCGATTCCGATAACAAGCGCTCCCGGACTGGCTACATCTATCGTCTCGAGCCTATCGGACCCATCTCCTGGCAGTCGAGCGAGCAGGAACTAATCGCTCTCTCTTCAGCTGAAGCAGAATATATCGCCCTCTGCTCAGCCACCAAGGAAGGACTCTACCTTCGCGAGCTGCTGGAAGAAGCAAAGTTAGCCGAGTTACCCAACTTCACCCTGTTCTGCGACAACCAATCTGCAATTCGCATCGCCAACAAGAGCGGATTCGCGAACAGAACGAAGCACATCGCTCTGCGATACTTCTTCGTAAAAGACGAGATCGAGAAAGGGAAACTCGAATTATCCTACTGTCCCACGTCCGAGATGGCAGCCGACTACTTGACCAAGAAGCTCGGAAAACAGAAGTTCGAGTACTGCATGCTGCTGACTGGACAAAGCCACGTCACCATCAGCGACACTCCAGAAGCGAAGGGGAGTGTTGGGAACAACAAGTCTTAAAGCGCGTCTGTCGTGTCGAAACTCATGACACAAGCGAAGCAGCTCAAATCGAAGTGCAACAAGTCAACTCTCGGATGTTAGGGTAACCGCCGGAGGTTACGAGAAGGTCAAAGGTCAGCGACCTTTGACGTAACAAATGCAGCGCGACAGCAAGGACAAACAACTGACTCGACATCAGGGGTTTTTATATCAGAGTAAATTACTCTGTTTCTCTGAAAATCAGAGTGGTTTTTAGGGGGTCACTCTGACGTGTCTGGGTAATTTTTTTGGAAGATAAGTTTTTCTCTGATTTGTCAGGGTTCTCATTTTAGCTACTCTGTGAGACCAGTGTATATTTGTGGCGAATGTATTTTTCCCCCCAATTGGTGGAAGATGGTTAGGGCGACAACATATATTTCAAGTCCGTCTGCAAGTCTATTTGTTAGCGCGTAGCACAACAATACTAATTTTGGTATGAGTGCAGAAGGCCTGGGTTCAGTACTTGAGAGGACACTCAGAATTGGAAAAAGAGTTACACCGATTGTCCAGAGCATATTTTTCAGTAGTTAAGTTTTCTCTGACAAATCAGAGTAACGCCCATAATTAACCCTGAATTTCAGAGTTCCCTAGAAAACAGCTCTGGAAATCCGAGTGGTGGAAATCCAAAAAAAAGCCCTGCTCGACATTGAGCAGTTGCCCGAGTCGCACTGTATCGAATCGCAACAGTAAAACAGTTTAATCATGTCTATTCGTATTCCTTGTACTCTTATATAAACCTTTGTATTTGCTTGTTTTAATTAACTTACTTTGCCCTCACATACCGTACTAGCACAAGGTGGTTCAAGGACTTCTTCATTCAACGCTTCCGCTATTACAATCCTACTCAGACTTTAACTCTACAAAGATCCTAGGTTCGATACTACAGAAACGCACTAAGTCATGCGTTTATTTTCCCAACACCCATCACACAAAGCCAACAGCCCACAACAGTCAATATAGACACGAAAACTGTTCGCTTCACACTCCAAACATCAGGAGCGAGAGGGTGGCAACAGCAGCAACGCCAGAGAAGTTGATGGCAGCAGCAATAAGCATGCCAGGGGCAGTTGCTGATGGGGCCTTAGGTGCTGGAGCTGCAGCCGACACTTGGGCTGCAGATGATGCTGGTGCTGCAGTTGATGCTGGCGCTGCAGTTGATGCTGGCGCTGCAGTTGATGCTGGCGCTGCAGTTGATGCTCGCGCTGCAGTTGATGCTGGCGCTGCAGTTGATGCTGGTGCTGCAGTTGATGCTGGTGCCTCAGTTGATGCTGGTGCCTCAGATGATGCTGGTGCTTCAGTTGATGCTGGTGCTTCAACCGATGCTAGTGCTTCTGTGGGTGCTGCTGACACTGGAATAACGGCACACATATAGAATGGGTGTAGTTGAATCATATTCGGCAAAACCTATTCCGAAAAACTAGCTGTTTATGGAAGGTTTCATTAAAGTCATTGTGGCATCGCTCTTGTGCGTGCGTGCGTGCGTGTGCTGTTGTTGCAGAAAGGGGACTTACATCCACGGGGCGTGCAGGAGGAGCAGAAAGAGAAGCAGCGACGGCAGAACCTGGTGGTGTTTCTCTGCTTCACCACACACTTGCTGCCCCCTGCAGGGCAGGTCAGCCCCGTGCCTGCGACGCCCCTGGGGGCGAGTGGGGAGGGACAAGAATGGGAGAAGGGAGGAAAGAATACACAAGCGTTCAAATTTCAGAAATACGATTCGTCTCTGTGAGGAGAAAACCTGCTGGAGCAGGTAAGTACCTGAATAGCAACAAGTACCTGAGTATACCTTGCTGCAACGTACACCCAGGCTATCAACAAATGAATGAACATAAATTTCCTGATCACAAAAACGTGCTGAAGGCAAATCCTGTTGGCAGAGATTCTATTGTGCCACTCTGTCAGCAACGCTTCTACCCCGTAGTAGGGATGAGCAAAATTCCGAACGCCTGTTCGGTTCGCCTCGAACATGTTCGAGGCGAACCGAACAGGCATTTTTTTTTGCCTAAATTGTTCGAGCCGAACATGTTCGGTGTTCGGCCGAACATGTTCGATGTTCGCCCCAAAATTTCGGGCCTCCAAGCCGAACACGAACATGTTCGTGTTCGACTTGGGGGCCACGCGAACACCAAAAATGTTCGCGTCAAAATTGGCCGCGACCAGATTTAGGTCGCGACCAATTTTTGTTTGAGCTCATTTCGTGAGCTCAAACTCAGAACGCGTTTTTGCCTTAGCGCTCCCTCACACAGCCGCCCTAGCCTTCTTGTTCTAGGTGCAAGCAAGTGCACGCCGATACTTACTTGCAATATACACGGACATTAGATCTATTTATGCATAGGGTTTAACGTAGTGTAGGGTGTTTAGGGTTGCTATTAAGGTTCAGCCAGCATCTCCGCAAAGGGCTCAAGTAGGGCGTATCCTACGCCGTAGGATTCGGATCGGGCATTTCAGATACCTTACCGTGCGGGATAACTTTTAGGAACGTGCGGCACCATCCAACGCTACCGTTGCACGAAGGGTGTTTTAGGGTTTAGGGTAGAGGGCTGAGTTATGGCTTCCAGGGCTGGTGGATCCATAGGGAGAGGTGCAGGCAGGGCTCAAGGCAGCGCACCGGGTTCTCCACCACGACCTATGCAGGGGCGGGTAGGGGATGGACCAGGAGGAGCCGGCGCGATCTTCGTTGGGGGGTTGCTTACCGTACCGGCGCCGACCTCCCGTCGCTCTTTCCGTTACGACGGCCCTCGACCCCCTCCTTCGGGGCAGACGCAGCCGGAGAGCGGCAGTGAGGAGGAGGATGAGGAGGAGGATGGTGAGGGCGAGAAGGAGGAGGACAGTGAGGGGAGCGGGGATGACAGCGAGGCGGCGTGGGACCCAGAGACGCATGGCGGTGGGGAGGGGGGAGATGATGATGATGAAGACCACGAGATGGATGGGTTGGAGCCAGAGGGGCAGGAGGAGGAGGTCGGAGAGGGTGGCGGAAGAGGGGCGACAGAGGCGGGATCACAGCATGTGCGTGAAGGGGGAGGGAGCGTGGGGGTTAAGGTGGGGGGGAAAAAGGCCGTGACCATTAGGGAGCCGAGGCAGAGGAAGAAGGCCAACAAGTTGAGGGAGCGGGCGTATCCCTGCACGTTCACTGGGGAGCCCTTGGGCGAGGGTGTGATCGCTCCCGAGTTCCTAGACGAGGACGGAGGGTCCGAGAGTAGTAAGGGGACTGGCAAGGGTAATAGGAAGCCGGGGTGGCAGGTAATGATGTTCGGACCGTTAGGGGCAGACGAGAAGCGTCAGTGCAAGATTTGCACAAACAGGATTTTTTGGAAGCAATCCACAACAACCCCCAGCGAGAGGCACTTTGCGAGCTTCCACACTGCGCACATGCATGTGTGGCATCACCGTTACCACACCCCGTCCGTTCACTTGCCAGGGGAGACGTTTCCCCGTGGGGGCTACAAGGGAGTGCCGGATGGCTACGTCTATGAGTGGCCACATGCCAAAACTTGGCCGCAACTCGCCAAGGGGAAAGGGAAGGCGACTGGTGGAGGTGATGGGTCAGGCGGGATCGAGCGGTGGATGACAACCAAACTGACCTCGGTGCAGCTACGGCAGGCGATCACGAAGCTGGTGGTCACCTGCGACCTCCCCTTCCGCATCGTCGAGGCCGAGGCTGTAAGTGCCCCATCCCATCCCATGCATTCTTGGGCAAGTATGTGGTTAGTGGATGGGTCTGTCCGCTTGTGGTGCACCCGCCATGCATGTGTTGCACCCGCCATGCATGTTGCACCCGCCATGCATGTTGCACCCGCCATGCATGTTGCACCTGCCATGCATGTTGCACCTGCCTGCCATGCATGTGTTGCACCCGCCATGCATGTGTTGCGCCCGCCATGCATGTGTTGCACCCGCCATGCATGTTGCACCCGCCATGCATGTGTTGCGCCCGCCATGCATGTGTTGCACCCGCCATGCATGTGTTGCACCAGCCATAGATGTGTTGCGCCCGCCATGCATGTGTTGCACCCGCCATGCATGTTGCACCCGCCATGCATGTTGCACCCGCCATGCATGTGTTGCACCCGCCATGCATGTGTTGCACCCGCCATGCATGTGTTGCGCCCGCCATGCATGTGTTGCACCCGCCATGCATGTTGCACCCGCCATGCATGTGTTGCACCCGCCATGCATGTGTTGCACCCGCTTGTGTTTTGACTGTTTGCGTGTGGCCCCGGGTTTTCGTTTAGTCCCCTCTCCCCCCTTGTGTCTACCCCTCTCCAGTTTCGTGAGCTACTCATCCTGCTAAACCGCAACTGCGCGCAGAAGAACTTCATCCCCTCGCGCTGGACGGTTTCCCGCGACACAGTGGTCTATGCGGCTGCCGCTCTTCAGTCATCCGTTGCGGAGATGCTGGCGAAGGAGGGGGAGGTGGGGTGCAGGGTGTCGTTCACCATCGACATGTGGACGGCACCCAACAACACGGCGTGGCTAGTGGTAACGGGTCACTGGATCGACGAGAATTTCCAGCTGTGCACAATGGTGTTTGAATTCCGCGAGATTCACGGGCGTCACACGGGCAAGCAGATGGCGAGGGTGGTTGAGGAGACGGTGGTGCACTGGGGGTTGGAGACGCGTTGTCTTGGGTTCACCTCAGACAACGCCTCCAGCAACACAGCCGCTTTCAGGTGGATGTCGGAGGAGGGTGGTGGCCAGTGCTTCTTCAACTCGCGCATGCACTTCCGGTACGGAAGGGAGTGTGCGTGGGATGTGCAATGAGAGTGGGTGGGCCTATGCGGCTTGAGAGTGGAAGTGTTTCTCGGGTCTATGCCAATGTGTACTCACACTTCCCTTTCTCTCCGCCGTTAATGTCTGGTGATGTGCGCAGATGCCTGGCACACGTGATCAACCTTGCAGTGAAGGCAGCTCTCGCAGTGGCTGCCATCCGCAAGTTGTTGCGGATCCTGAGAGACATGGCGTCGTGGATAGGCTTCTCGCCACAGCGCTCAGGGAAGTTCTTGAGCCTTCAGCAGACCCTGAACGCGCAGGCCAACCCCGCCAAACCGAAGCCGGCGTTGAAGTTGGTGCAGGACAGTCCCACACGCTGGGGGTCGACCCACGACATGGTCGAGCGAGCTGGGGTTCTGCAGGAACCCATCACTGTCTTCTTTGCCCAGACACAGGTGTGTGTGTGTGCCAGGTGTTGTGTGTGCGGTTTAATTTGTGGATATGTCGGGGTGTTTTGCTTTGGATCCTTGCACCACTGTTGGCCATGCTTGACTTGACTAAACACCCGCCCACCCATACGTTCTAACCCACACCACAGGGCGTGTCGAAGACTGACAAGGCGAAGCTGGACACCTTGCGCCTGACGGACGCAGACTGGGAGACTCTGCATTCTGTCAAGACCTTCCTCAGCCCATTCGCCAAAGTCTCAAAGGCAGCGGAGGGAGCGGCGTACCCTACAGTGGCGATGGTCCTGCCGTACTACAACGGCCTGATCGACGCTATGGAGTCGCGCCTTGCCAAGGGGCCATCGGCTACGCTAAAGCCGATGATTGAGGCGGCGCTGGGTCTCTTGAAGAAGTATGAACTGATGTCCAGCAACGAGTTGTGGATCGCGACCTTCCTGGACCCTTCCATGAAGGCGGCGTGGTTCGACGACGCGCACTGGGAGACGCTGCATCCCGATACCGACCGGAGGGCGAGGCCTCGCCCCTCGTCAGGCGAGGTGATCCAGCTGGTTCGCGAACGCGTGGCCGAGTACCAGGTCTGGGCTGCAGCGATTGCCCCTCAGCCGACCCCACTTGCCACAGTGACGGAGGAGGAGGAGGGAGACGCGGCGGATGACGACGAAGACGTCAAGTTTCTCCCTAGTCGCCGACGCCTTGCGGCGCGTCTGTCGGCGAGCCAGGAGGCGGGGAGGGGTGGGATGGTGCAGGATGACGAGGTTGACAGGTACTTATCTGAGAGGATGCGGTGCAACGTGTCAGCATTGGAGTATTGGCGCAAAGCCACCAACATGCAGACGCTGAGGCGCATGGCCCGGGATTATCTTGCCATCCCTGCCACGTCCGCGTCAAGCGAGCGCGTGTTCTCCCTCGGCCGCAACCTCATTTCCTGGAAGCGGCACCGCCTAGCCTCTCAGAGGACGCGATCGTCCATGATTCTGAGATCATGGTACAGCTCACACCCGGGACAGAGGATAGGCGAGGGCCGCCGTGCAAAAGGCGAGGCACCACCAGAGTTCGCCATTGAAGGCGATGGGGAGGAGGACGACGACGAGTGGGAGGAGGAGGAGGGGGAGGAGGAGCAGGATGGGGTGGGTGCTGGCGACACCACAGACGCGGAGCATGGTGTTGTTGGTAGCAGCAGTGGTGTGCAGGCGTAGGATTTAATTTGACAGTGACTTTTATATAGGCAAAACATGATGGTGTCGTATGCTAGTGTGCGTTGCATGAACACATATACACCCTCCACCCCCCTATCTATCTTCCCAACCCTCCAGATTCCCTGTTTGACAAATGTGACTATAACGAAATTGCCCACAGGCGAACTCGAACATGTTCGAACCCCAAATGTTCGCCCCCATGGGCGAATGGCGAACACCTCCTGCTTGCCAAATTGTTCGCCGTACCGAACCTTGTTCGGTTCGGGAAATGGTGATGTTCGAGCGAACTCGAACCCGAACGTGTTCGAGTTCGCCCTTTGCTCATCCCTACCCCGTAGAGACAAGATGGGATACAGCTTCATGTCAACAAAGATTACGTGTACACAGAAACACATAAACGCGATGAAAATTGCAAGTGTGCTTTGAGCAATACATGTGGGACATGATACCCCAGAGGAACAAATAATCCAACAATCATGTACATTAGATTATTATGCCAGTCCGAAATCATTCTGTACGTATTTGGTCATATACCACATGCAGTGTCAGTTTGGAGCGAATCAGAAACTGGTTTGTTTATAGCAGAACCATACAGACTATACATGTTTGCGTTAAGAACAGACATTGCAGTATGTGCCATGATGGAGCTAGAGGGGAGGCCTGTCAACACCACTATGGTGCCAATGATTTGATTAGGGGGCAAGAATAGAAGGATATCGGATGTTCTAATAGGACCCAAGCACGAAATATGGAAGCTGTAAGAGCATTGCCAGGAAAGCAGTCACATCTAGGTTTGTAGTGGATGTTGAAGGGACAGGCTGTGCTACTACTCATGGGGACGTCAGATTGACAAGTCAGCCCGGGCCAGCAGGTATGGGGTCACTCAAGTTGTTGCTTCCAAGGCAAAGACGAAGTGTGCGTCCACCCTTGGGGACAGCAGGCAGGAGACAGCAGCTTCTGCCGCAGCAGCCTCAGTGGACCTGAATCCCTCACAAGCCACAAAGCATACCTGCCCCTCCCAAAATGCAGTGCACCACTGCCGTTGCGTTGCAGTGGCAGACAGTGCACCTACCTGCACATCGCACTCTCCCCCATGCGCACTCCATGTTCGTATATCTCACAGGCTTTTCAAGTGGACGAGGTTCCCCAGGGCAGCGGGGATCGGGCCGGATATGGCGTTGTTGGAAAGCTCCCTGGGGTGATGTGCAGTGCGAATGGATGCAGTGCATTGAACCAGAAATGGAGAAGGTAAATTGTGGGAGGAGGAGAGAATGAGGCGGGAGAGGAGGGAATGGGGAAGGGAGGAAGGGAGAAAATGCAGTGTGGTGCAGTGCGGTGCTCACAGTGCCTCAAGAGCAGCGAGGTTGCCAATGTCAGCAGGAATGGAGCCTGAGAGCTGGTTGTTGTGGAGCGCGCTGGGGGGCGGTCGGGCAGCGGCAGCCAGCAGGGCGGGAGGGAGGGAGGGAGGGGGGAGGGAGGCAGAGAGGGAGGGACGGAGGGAGGCAGAGAGGAGAGGGAGGGAGGGAGGCAGAGAGGGAGGGAGGGAGGGAGGGAGGGAGGGAGGGAGGGAGGGAGGGAGGGAGGGAGGGAGGGAGGGAGGGAGGGAGGGAGGAAGGGAGGGAGGGAGGGAGGGAGGGAGGGAGGATGGACGAAGGAGAAGGTGTGGAAATACAATCTGGGTGGGTGCTGGGGTCGATGCTCACGGGAGGAAAGGATATGATTGCGGTTCTGGTGGCTATGCCTTGTCAGGTGAGTGTGTGGGAGCACTGACAGGTGGGAGAGTGCAGTGAAGGAAGAGAGAAGGGCAGGGATTGTCCCTTGGAGCTCGTTGTTTTCCATGGACCTGAGAGCACCACGCAGCATGCAGCGCAGGGGAAACGCAGGCACACACCAGCTCTGTGGAGAGTAACTCTTGTTTGAGTGAAGAGAAAGCCAAAACAGTGCCAAGCGGTTTATTCCTCTCATGTGCGCAGGAGAGAGAGAGAGTGATGTACAGTTGTGGTGTGAGCCTGAGGGGAGGGTAGGAACGGGCTATGACGCAGGGAGGGCATGGGAGGGAGCGAGCGACTGACAGGTGGTTCAGGTTGGTGAGGGTGCTCAGAGATTCAGGGATGGAGCCTCCCAGCTTGTTGTTCTCCAGAGCCCTGTGATGGGCGCATTCAGAGGACCAAGGTGATTCGTAAAAGAAAAGCAGTTTTTGTTAAAAGAGAATTGTTCAAAATTGTTTTAGCTAAGGCCGTTTAATTCTTCTAATTCCGTTCTTTCTGAATCAGGCGTTTTTTCCAAGTTGCCTATGGTTGCTGCCCTTCCAAGCATGAGTGCCAATGCCTATGCTGCTTGCTCGTCTATGGCTGCTTGGTTGCCAACGGGATGCGAGGGCGCCTATCGGGGGTGGGAATGGCACCAGACAGCTGGTTGTTGGAGAGATAGCTACGATGGGACATGTGCGGCATGGGGTGTGGAGAATAAAGGGCAGTTTGGGCATTGACATGACACGTGACGGGGGACATGCGGGCCAGGGGAGATGGCTGCTTGGTTGCCAATGACTCGCACACTCACAAGTACAGAAGGGATGTGAGGGCGCCTAGGGTGGGGGGAATGGCACCAGATAGCCGGTTGTTGGAGAGAAAGCTGCAATGGGGGACATGCGGGCCATGGGAAATGCGGAAGCTGATCCAAGTTGCCCATTCCTGCGGGAATGCTTTCCATGAGCATGTTGTGAGGCGTGGCATGGGAGTGAGACATGGTATGGGATTGAGGCAAGGGCTGCTTGGCTGCCTATGACTGCTTGGCTGACAAAGATTGGAACACTTACATGATTTCGAGGGATGTGATGCACAGTTGTGGCATGAACCCGAGGGAAGGGTAGAAACGGGCTGTGAGGCAGGGAAGGGCGTGGGAGGGGGCGGGCTACTGACAGGTGATCCAGGTTAGTGAGGGTACTCAAGGCGTCAGGGATGGAGCCTCCCAGCTTGTTGTTCTCCAGAGCCCTGTGATGGGCGCATTCAGAGGACATGCCTATGTTGCTCGGTCGTCTATGGCTGCTTGTTTGCCAATGACTGTCACACTCACAGGTAACAAAGGGATGTGAGGGCGCCTATGGCAGGGGGAATGTCACCAGACAGCTTGTTGTTGCTGAGATAGCTGCGACGGGACATGTGGGGCACGGGGCATGTGGGGAATAAAGGGCAGTTTGGGCATAGGTATGACATGTGACGCTGGTTGTTGGAGAAACGGCTGCTGTGACAGGGAACGTGCGTGCTAGGGGAGATGCGGAGTAATTGGGACATTGGCATGGCACGTGGGGGTATGGTGATTGACAGCATGGGAGTAGAACATGGCATGGGGGGGAGACATGGCATGGGGGAGAGACATGGCACAGGAGGGAGCCATGGATTGTTTGATTGCCAATGACTGGCACACTTACAGCTCTTGGAGGGCCGTGAGGGCGCTTATGCCAGGTGGAATGGCACCAGACAGCTGGTTGTTAACAAGTTGGCTGCGATGGGGACATGCGGGCCATGGGAGATGGAGGGCCCGTTGTGGTTATGGTGACAGCATGGAAGGGAGACATGTCATGGGAGGGAGACATGGCATGGGAGGGAGGCATGGCATGGGAGGGAGACATGGCATGGGAGGGAGACATGGCATGGGAGGGAGACATGGCATGGGAGGGAGACATGGCATGGGAGGGAGACATGGCATGGGAGGGAGACATGGCATGGGAGGGAGGAATGGGTTGCTTGGCGATGAATGGTTGCTTGGTGGCCAATGGCAGGCACACTTACATCTCTTGGAGGGCCGTGAGGGCGCTTAGGGTGGGGGGAATGGCACCAGATAGCTGGTTGTTGGAGAGATAGCTGAGGCGGGGGACATGCGGGCCATGGGAGATGCGGAAGCTGATCCAAGTTGCCCATTCCCGCGGAAATGCTTGTTGGGAGGCGTGGCATGGGAGTGAGACATGGTATGGGATTGAGGCAAGGGCTGCTTGGCTGCATATGACTGCTTGGTTGACAAAGATTGGCACACTTACATCAATCTGAGGGATGTGAGGGTACTTATGGTAGGAGGAATGGCACCAGACAGCTGGTTGTTGGAGAGATGGCTGTGATGGGGGACATGCGGGACAAGGGAGATGGGGAGTAATTGGGACGTTGGCATGGCACGTGGGGGGTATGGTGAGAGCATGGGAGTGAGACATGGCATGGGAGGGAGGCATGGTATGGGAGATCGACATGGTATGGGAGGGAGGGAGACATGGTAGGAAGGCATGGCATGGGAGGGAGGCATAGATTGCTTGGTGATGAATGGTTGCTTGGTGGCCAATGGCTGGCACACTTACAGCTCTTGGAGGGCCGTGAGGGCGCTTATGAGGGCCAATCACTATACGTGAGGACCAAGGCAGGCACACACCTAAGGCAGCATTGCCCTTCCATGCTCCCCCACTACGGATTGCTGGGTCCTCTATGGTTGTTGAGGCGCGTCAGAAATGAGTTTCAGCTGAAAATCGTTTCAGCTCACGTGTTTCTTACATGGGTAACGATTCTAATGCATGAAGGTGCTCACGTAACTTTAAGAAGTCATTGGTGTGGGCGATGCATGGCTTATTAACGGTCCTGAAGACACTTGGGATTGTCTTACCTCTAGGAGAGGTTTGGAGCTTGTATGGAGTCTCCAACTCCCGTTACAAGTTGCACCATTATTTTATTTAGTGAAGCAGTATTTGTTTTAGCTGAGGTCGTTTTTTATTTCCGTTCTTTCTATCTCAAGCCCTTTTTCCAGTTTCCTATGGTTGCTGGCCTTCCACGCATGAGTGCTAGTGCCTATGTTGCTCGGTCATCCATGGCTGCTTGTTTGCCAATGACTGTCACACTCACAGGTTGCCAAGGGATGCAAGGGCGCCAATAGCAGGGGGAATGGCACCAGACAGCTTGTTGTCGCTGAGATAGCTGCGACAGGACATGCGGGGCACAGGGCATGTGGGGAATAAAGGGCAGTTGGGGCATAGGTATGACATGTGACGCTGGTTGTTGGAGAAACGGCTGCTGTGACAGGGGACATGCGTGCTAGGGGAGATGCGGAGTAATTGGGACATTGGCATGGCACGTGGGGGTATGGTGATTGACAGCATGGGAGAGACATGGCATGGGGGAGAGACATGGCATGGGGGAGAGAAATGGCACAGGAGGGAGCCATGGATTGTTTGATTGCCAATGACTGGCACACTTACAGCTCTCGTAGGGCCGTGAGGGCGCTTATGCCAGGTGGAATGGCACCAGACAGCTGGTTGTTGGAGAGTTGGCTGCGACGGGGAGGGGACATGCGGGCCAGGGGCTTGGAGAATTGGCATGAGACGATGCTGCACTGCCCGATGCTGCACTGCCCGATGCTGCACTGCCCGATGCTGCACTGCCCGATGCTGCACTGCCCGATGCTGCACTGCCCGATGCTGCACTGCCCAATGCTGCACTGCCCGATGCTGCACTGCCCAATGCTGCACTGCCCGATGCTGCACTGCCCCATGCTGCACTGCCCGATGCTGCACTGCCCAATGCTGCTCTGCCCCATGCTGCACTGCCCAATGCTGCACTGCCCGATGCTGCACTGCCCAATGCTGCACTGCCCGATGCTGCACTGCCCAATGCTGCACTGCCCGATGCTGCACTGCCCAATGCTGCACTGCCCGATGCTGCACTGCCCAATGCTGCTCTGCCCCATGCTGCACTGCCCAATGCTGCACTGCCCGATGCTGCACTGCCCAATGCTGCACTGCCCGATGCTGCACTGCCCAATGCTGCACTGCCCGATGCTGCACTGCCCAATGCTGCACTGCCCGATGCTGCACTGCCCAATGCTGCTCTGCCCCATGCTGCACTGCCCAATGCTGCACTGCCCGATGCTGCACTGCCCAATGCTGCACTGCCCGATGCTGCACTGCCCAATGCTGCACTGCCCAATGCTGCTCTGCCCAATGCTGCACTGCCCAATGCTGCTCTGCCCAATGCTGCACAGCCCAATGCTGCTCTGCCCAATGCTGCTCTGCCCAATGCTGCTCTGCCCAATGCTGCGCTGCTGAATGCTGTGCTACCCAGAATCGTGTTGCTCAACGCTAGACTGCCCAGTGGTGCATGGCCCATGCTGCGATTCCAATGCTGTGTTGCCCACTTTCGTGTTGCTCAATGCAGCATTGCAATCAAAGATGGATTGACTAATGCCGCGCTGAATATTGCTTCGTTGCACAACGTTGAATTGCCAGTGCTGTGTGACCAAATGCTGCCATGCCCAGTAATGTGTGCACAATGCTGCACTGCTCAATGTTGTGATGGCCAATGCTGCACAGCCCAATGCTGCGTTGCCCAATACCACGCTGACCAATGTGGCGCTGCTTGCTGAATGCTTCACAGGCCAAATACCGCGCTGCCGAACAATTTCATTGAAGCATTACCAAATGCTGCAATGATACCCAATGCTGCGGGCCCAATGATACGTTGGCCAATGCCGTGCGGCCCAGTGCTGCACTGCCCCAATACTGAGCTGCTCAATGCTGCTGACATGGCATGGGAGTCACCCCTCCCCCCCCCCCTCCCTCCCTCCCTCCCTCCCTCCCTCCCTACCTCCCTCCCTAGATCCCTCCCTCCCTCCATATCTCCCTCTCTCCATCCCTCCCTCCCTCTCACGGCCCTACATGTGTCAACCTGTCTCTTACAGGTAGACGAGAGAGGTGAGCATGCTGAAGGATGCTGGGATGGAGCCCTCTATGGCGTTCTTCCACATACTTCTGAGCAAGTTGCAGCACAGCACACGGAAAGTGGGGATCAAACAAGCAGATGACAGTGAGAATGGCCGAGGCGAAGGATGTGGATGCGCACATGGGATGACAGCACAGCACAGAGGGTGTGGGATGGGGCAATTAGTGGGGACGGAGTACAGAGGGCAGAGGCAGGGAGGAATACCGCTGGTGAGGAGCCTGAAAGGGTCGCAGAGTAAGTCGTAGCACAGCAGAGAGGGGGTGAGGCGTGAGAAATAAAGAGATGTAGAATGCGACAGATGAAGAGATAAATTTTTACACCCTGAGTGCTTCGTCCCCCCGAAGGTGTTTCGGGGAGATGGAAAGGGCTACTGCTGGAAAGGGCTACTGGTGGACAGGAAAGGGCACACACACACAGGGTCCCCTAGATGAGTGATACAGAAGCAGCCTCGAGATGCCTTAAAGATCACACCGCAGGTGTATGTGAAAGCGTATGGAGCCATGTAGAGTGGTACAAAAGGTTAGAGAGTGGTAACGGCACGAAGGCGCTGCAAAATCAGAGTGATGAGGGAAGTGCACAGACAGCTGAGAGGCGTTTAGAAAGCTGTGAGATGTACAGGCTGGTGAGAGAGGTGAGAGTGCCAAGCGATGTTGGGATGGATCCAGTTAGAGGTGGAATTTGAATCAACCTGTTGTGTTGTGTTGAGCGCACACAAGCACACACACAGACACACACCCGCACGCACGCACGCGCACGCACACGCACACACGAACAGGCACAGAAGCAGCAGAAGAGTGAAGCACAGCTACAGCACAGAGACGAAATGTCAGTGGCCATTGTGACCCACCGTGCCCTCCCCTGGGTGTCTCAGATCTCCCTACCTCCCTAACTCCCTCCCTCCTTCCCTCCCTCCCTCCCTCCCTCCCTCCCTCCCTCCCTCCCTCCCTCCCTCCCTCCCTCCCTCCCTCCCTCCATCCTCTCTCCACATCCGCTCTCCCCACATCTCCTCCGTCCTACCCGAACTCCGGCGGCCTTCCGTAATCAGCCTGGTTGTAATCCCAATCAGGGTTGGGATTAGTGGTGGTGTCGACATTCAAGTCAGTGATGAACCCGTTGGCGTCGCATTTAATGTAAATGGGAGTAGCGTCACAGTCGCCCCCCACGTGCCAATTGCTCGGCGAACCGCCCCATCCCGAAAAGTCCCATGCTGCAGCGCACTCCTCCAGCACCCGCGCTGCCAGGGGCTCGTGGGGAACAGGGTAGGCAGAGGGGACAGGCAGGGGGGAGGGTGGGGGGAGGGAAGGGGGAGGGAAGGGGGAGGGAATGGGGAGGGAAGGCCGAAGAGGGCAGAGGAGGAGAAGCGAGGGGTGAGGCACGGGTGAGGCAGGAGGAACTCCCTGAGGGAGGTAGGGGGAAGGGAGGTTGAAGCATGGGGGGCGGGTTGGGCACTGAGCGAGCAGTGTGCATGTTCATTGGGGTGTGGACGAAGCCAGAACAGAGGAATAGCAGCGAGGGAGCATAGCAGCGGGGGGAAAGAACAAACACTCACGACGAACTCAGGGACGAGTTCCTACACCAGTTTCGCCAGCGCTGGTCGGTAGCAATGCAACGCGGGCAAGCTGTAAGCTACATGACAAAGTGTAACGAGGCACCCCACGTGGAGAACCCGCCCGTGGGCGCCCCATGCGTTGTCCCTGGGGAACTGCCTTGCCTACTGGAGCAAGCCTTGGAACTCCCTTTAGAGTATGACAAAGGGTGGCTGGTTTGCTGATAATGTTCATTTGTTTGCTTGCTAGGATGTTATACGTTCCCAACTGCATGTCTGTAATTTTCTGGACTGTAAAATGAAAAGGGCCGTTTGAGGGAGAGGGATGGGACTGGAGGGAGGGGAGGTAAATCAGCGGGAAGGAGGAGGCTGTGGATGGGGTACAGCGGGTGACCTTGGGCGTCGTTGATGCGAGTGGCGGCAGCAGGGCACGGCGGCAGCAGAAGCAGCCCAGCCAGCAGCAGCAGCGGCAGGCGGAGGAGCAGCAGCGGCGGAGGCGAGAAGGAGAAGCTGCGCCGGTCTCGCTCGCCCATCACTCTACGGACGGAAAGAAGGAGGGCAAGACGTGCAAAAGCTGAGCAACGACTGCAGTGGAGGAGTGATGAGGGTGATGGACTCGTGCAGACGACTGCTGATGCAGCGGCAGTGGAGTCACGGCTGTGCATGCGCTTCCGGCACTTCTGAGAACTCTCAAAGCTGCTGTCACGGCTGCTTTGCTCGGGCCGCCGCCTGGAAAACTGAGCCTGCGTTTCCAAGTTTTGCGCCCCCAATCGAAACTTGACTGTGGTGAAACGCCTTGGCGGACACAGAATCAACCAACTAGAGAGATTTTCAGCGTTTTGAAACTAGACTGGACATGGAGGTTACGGTGTTTCGAAATGGGCCTGCAATGCCTGACTGCCGTATTGATCGTCTTGCGGGACGATGGAAGTGGCGGAGCACGAGATGGTGGCTAGTCGCCGTCGCTTGCGCTGTGTTGGCGAAGGCCGTTTATACGAGCGTGCTTGTTTCGAAAACGCTAAAGAGGACACAGCGCGAACAGCAACCTCCACTGCCACAGCGGACGACAAAAGGTAGCTATTGGCTCTTGCCAACAAAGAGGAGGCCTCGCGTGTGATGCGCGTGGAGCCGGGAGCGCCACTGAGATGACTCAGCGCGACGACGACGACCAGTGCGGTCATCGTCGGACGACGGGGCGACGCTCCTCCACGTCGACCAATGGGGATGGGAACTGAGATGATCTGACTTGCCACGGCAGACAAAGCCATATGATGAGAAGCATAACGCTTGTGCCTAGTAGTGCGTGTGAAGCAGCAATAGCTCCTCCTTCGCGGGTAAGCTCGTAACTTCGCGTGACACGTCAGCAGCCAACATGACTCTCGAGTTATGATGACCATGGCAGACCGCTGTACTGCAGAAATATCGTGCACTCCAGCTCAACACCTCTTTCCCGTGGACGGGTGCAATGGTCATATCATATTTCCAAGTTCCAACCAAGCACTCCCTTCTTTCGAGAATTTTGCTCAATTTCGCGGAATTTATTTTCGCCACGTGGCAAGCCTTCGATCGCGCGAACCGCGATCTGCTTTATTTTTCCCACAAAGTTCAAGAGAAACTTAGTTAAGTTGTGTACCGCGCTGCCCGCGGGCAAAAATAAAATCCATTCGGGCATGGCATGCGTTAGGGAGGCATCAACCCTAAACACCTTGCCTCTATGTGTTTAGGGTTGATGCATCCCTAACGCATCATCTTCCTGTAGGGGTTTTATTTCTGTCCGCGGGCAGGGTAGTACATGTGATCGCTAAGCCTAACTATATTTCTCTTTAAAAATGTGGGAATAATAAAACAGATCACGGTTCCCACGATTGAAGGCATGCCACGTGGCGAAAATAAAACGAGCCGCGATTCCGCAGAATTGAGCAAAACTCTCCCTTCTTTCCTTCTCAGCTTCGAACCACACGAGTGAACAAATGACCAAGAACCAGGGCGCGTAACCATATTTTTCTTGGCGGGTCGTTTTCGGACCGTCCGTTCTAAAATGCTTGGTTAGGGCGTGTAACTTTGCTTCGACCAAGCCCAAAATCCGACCAAATAGCTGGATCTGGCGAAAGCGAAATGTGTAACGATTCGGCGAGCCCCGCCAAACATTTCGAGCACAACGACCATTCTATTCGCCAGGACGCGGAACAACCACCCTCGAAATTGGTCGGAAAAGGTTTGATCCCAGTTCCAGCAACAAACTGGGTGTGGAAAATAGAAGGCGCGGGTAGATTAGATTGTTCAGCAAAATAACGGTAGTTTGAAAACGCATTCGGGGGCGAAAACCGAATGTCAAACATTGATCTCCTGCTAAGTAGAGGACCAACTAGCTTGGTGGGCAAGTTTACACGAAAGAATACCATCCGATTTCTGTCAAGTCAGGGTGACTACAAACTGTTCGCGTAACCCTACAAACTTCGCAATCGTCAGAACCGCCCATAAGGTCGACCATTTCGTTTGGTCGGAGCAAAGTTACTATTGAGTTAGTTGCGAGGGAGGATGCACTATGGAATGAAAGAAGTACAAGTACCAACCCTAATTGGGTTGTACCCCCTATGGGCTACCCCACTACAGCCTACATATATGCATCAGCAATATAATCATCTGACACACCCCCATAGGCAAAGTGGGGGAGAACAAGGGGTCACAAGACCAGTCAAGCAAAGCAAAGCAAGCTCAGGGTGGATCTCAAGGATACCACACAAATTCCGAGCACAAGGTCAAGGCTACAAGGCCAGTTCACATGCAGCAGAGCATATATATAACAATGCTAAACAAGCAAGAGCAAGGATATATATATGCAGCAGTACAAGCAAGGTCAAGAGGTAAGCAAGTGAGGCCCAGTGGGCACAAGGCCTAGCAAAGTGCAAAAGCGCTGATGGTCACGAGGCAGAAGTGCCTTGGTGAACACATCAGCAGTGTTGGTTTCAGTGGCCACGAAACGTAGAAGAAGCTGACCGCGCTGCTGCAGCTTTCGAGCAAGGAAGTAGCGCAGAGCAATGTGCTTCGTCCTGTGCTCCAGTCTGTGCTCCTCACACAAGGCAATGGTTGCCTTGTTGTCGACGTACAGCACTGGAGGAGAACGAGGCCGCTCTCCAAGGTCAGTCAGCAGGTAGGTGAGCCAGCGAAGCTCCTGGGCAGCCATGGTCGTGGCGTAGATCTCAGCCTCACAGCTGGAGCTGAGAACAGAAGAAGAGCGAGTAGAGCGCCAAGAGACAGAGCCAGAGCCAAGACTGAAGGTGTAACCCTGAGACGACCGCTGAGTAGCCTGGTCGTCAGCCCAAGAAGCGTCTGAGTGCCCAGTGAGCACAGGCCGCTCTCGCCCTCCAAGCACTAGCCCCATGCCCGACGTACTGCACAAGTAGCGCAGGTCATCAGGTAGCTGCATCCATGTGCTCCTTCCGGTGACGGCCGGGAGCAACATAGCGTGCTAAGATGCTGAGAGGGTATGCGAGGTCAGGTCGAGTGCAGGTCATCAGGTACATGAGGCAGCCCACAAGCTCTGGATACGGACCACTCGACTCTACGGACTCATCCGAAGGCAGAGCTGAGAGCGAGTGTCCCGTAGGCAGAGGAGTGGACTGAGGCGAGGAGTACGTGAAGCCGAAGCGCTGAAGGACCTGCTGCACCATGTGTGACTGAGTCAGGGTAATGGTGCGG